ACTGCGGTGTTTTATAACGGAGATCAGCATGCGTAAAACATGGCAAACAAATTTTCATACCGACAGCGACAGGTATAAGTGTCGAACACATACGGTGACGAGAAAATGTGCATGGCAGTGCGGCAAAACTGCAAAACGAATGCCTTTGACTTTACATAAATGTCCGCGGATAGAGGTCGATTGATATGTGATGTATCAGAAAGATGGATATATGAAAGCAATTCTTGTACATTTACTGTGACCCGCCAAAAACCGTAAAAAGTTATATGATCTTCAAACCCTTTTAGACGCGTCTAAAGTGCCTATTTTACTTTGGTATCTTCAGGCATTAATTATCGTATTCCACCAGAATATAGTCAATTGAAATAGGCATTAGAGAGTCTCCTCATCAATGAGGCCCCAGCTGAACCAAACACTCTCTTTTCAAAGTAGCTCTCTAAAGTCATTTTTGTGTTCTGCTAATTTAAATCCTTTAATCAATGATGAAATCCTTTTGAGCGTAAAAAATAAAATAAGAACATTATCTTATTTACTTAAAAATAGTTTTAGAAGATAAGCTTCAGAAGATAATTCCAATAATGCTGAAAATAAGTTTCACAATTTTCAACTATTCTCACAAATGTCATTTTGATTTTCTTTTATGACTTATAGGTACCTATGGACAGAAATCACTTGATAGAAGGCCTCAAGGAATTCGCCAGATTTCACTCAGTCTCACTAGCAATGAAAACCAAGCAGCCAGAAGTATTTCAAAGCCTTGTTTTAGATGGTTTCAAACCATTCGCCTCCACTCCAGAAAACTTGAAGCAACTGGTGAAAGCTTGTGTTAAAGCTGGAGCTGAGCTGGCAGGTGATGACGAAGAATCCAAAGAGGTTTTGGACGAGATGGAAGCTATTGGGGAAGAATTTATATTGAAAACAATGACAGATGAAAAGTATCATTTGGTATTGGCCCATGGAGATTGTTGGTGCAATAATATATTATATAAGTATAAAGATGTAACTATGACACCAGTAGATGCAATGCTAGTTGATTTTCAGGTAAAAAAATTACAGAGCACTGAAATAGAACTAGAAGGCTATAAAGTAATGATGGGTTTTTAGTTTTCGCAAATTGTAATGATGCAGTATAGAAAGTTATATAAATACTGCTGTTAATTGGCAAAACATCCTAAGGTCCTCGTTTGTAACTTACGCAGGGTCTTACAGAAGATTTTTTGGGGTTGGAGACTCGGCACGATAAAATATGAAAAAACTTCATACGAGCATAGGTCTAGACATACTTCGTTGCCATGTACATATACGCTTGCCCGTCTATGTTAATTCACCTTGTACAGGGTGCTCATTTGAAAACCTCCCACCACGGATTTATCGAAACCCGCTGATAAAAGAAAAAAAGTTGAGACACGTCAAAAGATTTGTCATGGGGTCAACTTTTTAACCAAAAACTACTTCACTCCCTTTCACCCCCTGCCCTCAGGGTCATCCACTTAAAAATTTTAAGTGACAACGGGTATCGACTAATAGCTTGGTTGAAAGGTGTTTCGAAGTCCTTTATTTTGACATTCGATTTTTTTAAATCGGTTTAGTTTTCAAGAAAATTAGGAAAAACTTTATCTTGATTTGTTCAGGTACAAAAAAAACACGTGAAAATATCACGTTTTATTTCAATAAGATGTCAACCTCTTCGCACCATACGTAATGGCGCCCCAAACCATATCTCTTCAACTGAAAACTTGAAATTACGTCACCCTGTGACACCTCGCACGTCCATTGTGCATTCCTTGCAAATGAGTGGTACCAGAAAACTAGAAATCACCTATTTTCAGATTGCAAAGCCGGGATCTCCAATAAGGGACGTCGCTTACTTCCTATTCGTCAATAGCTCTAAAGAAGACTTACAAAGATACAAAGACTACCTCAAGATATACTATGAAGAGCTGTCAAGCTATCTACAACAACTTTCTTGTGAAATCAAATATTGTTTCTCCCAAGATACCTTCGAAGATCACTGGAAAGCAATAGCAAAGTATGGATTGTATATATCAGTGTTGATTCTGAAGCTGACTGGTCTAGGGAAAGAAAATGCAGTTAGCAAAGACTTTTACGAACAGTTCCAGATGTCTTTGGATAGCTTGGAGTTCAAAGTTGTGAGACAGAGAATTATAGATTTACTCAGATTTACAAAACAAGAATGTATAGTTTGATATCAGTTGGAAAAGATGTATCCCTTACGGATATCGTATAAATTGTTAATATAATCATTACTTTTCCTGTGTAACTGTATCTATTTAATATATTTTCCTTTCTATTCGGCAGATGGAAGCAAAGAACATATATATACGATTCATAGTTATTGTCGATAATAACTAGCTAAATGAAAGACTTGTCTTTGGGGATGTCGACAAATTATGCTAGGTGTACCCTTTTGACTTACAAATACTCAAGCTTTCGACAGGCTATGTGCCATCATCAGGCATTCGTCAATGAGATTGGTGCTAGTGTTTGATGTTGTAAAATGTAGATAATTGAGAACCCATGGCAAGGTGATCAAAACCGGATTTACGCGGATCCTTTTTTGAAAACGGTAGAGAACATGATTATGTTTTAGTGATAAAATATAGACGGATTGGGACAAATTGGGACAAACATTATTGGTTGAACAATGTTTTTAAAAAACTTCTCAAATTATATTATAATTAAGCAAATACTGGCAGTAAACACGAATAATCGGCAGTATGCGTTGGGTAAAGACTAATTGTGAAGCTTCTAGATTAGAAATGAACTCTCAAAGGGAAGCAAATAAATAAATGCTGTTAGTCAAACCCAGATTTGTGTCATTTACTATTCAACAAAGTTGCTTATTTTATAAATAAATTGTACGCAAAAAAGTTTTCGGCAACGAAGTCTTGTTAATGCTAGAGAGCTACTGACGTCTGAGAATATAAACTTTACTTCCCACGCTATAAGCCAAAAAAGTGCAATGATCGTGAAAATGAATTTGAATGCTCTTATAGGTATTTCTGTTTAAAGCCGGACTTATTACAAAAATAAATATTCCTAAGCTATGTTTCTTGTCATTCAGACGCCGACACTTACTTTCGACGCCTACTAGCGAGGAAGTATTGTAATCGCGAAAAATCTCGAATATGAGATGTTTTTGAATGTTATACGGGTATATCACGATAAACGGTGTCGCTCATTTCCGTCATCTTTGGATCGCCTATAAGCAAGAACGAAAAAGCTTGTAATTTTTGAAAATCGATCCAGAGGTGAAGCAAAAATACGAAAAAAATAAGAATCGATCAAACTTGGTTTTTGACTTGATCATTGTCAGAAAAAAAATTATAGGGGTTGAAAATCGCGAGTTGTAGGGGTAGGGGAAAATATATCTCACTTTTGGCGGCAGTATATTTATACGCTTCCAGCCCCAATCATTATATGCACCTTCAATACATATTTCACACATCCAGGATTTGCCGTACATTAGCCCTTATAACTTAGACGAATATTTATAAACGAGACACGTGGTCGGTCAAGACGATGTGATGCAAGGACGTTGCCGGCAGGGATGTTTTAATATCGTGGCTGATTTGACCCATTTAATTTTTTGTTATACATGTTTGTAGCTGACTCAAAGGACGAACATAATTCTTACGGGGTTGCGTGGAAAGTGCCGAGTCAACCTACTTGACGCCATTCTTGTCTAGCATCTATCAATTTCGAAAAAAAACATGCACAATAAAAATCAAGCTTTATTCTTTGACGTCCTCAAATTATCTGATTATTTTAAGTCGTAGGCAAGTAGATCTGCGGTACACTTTTGGTCGTCCTTAAATCATTTTCATGGTGAGAACATTTTCAAAAACTCAAGTTGTTTTTTGAGTCCACATAATTTTTAACAACCATAGTCGAAATATGCATCTAGTCCGTTTCGATGTCTTCAAACAAATATTAACTCGTTTGAATTGCTTTTCGTCTCTGTAACCATGACCAAAACACTATGCGAACGCTAGATGGGTCGACATATTTTATCTGTAGATTGCACAGAATCTTCATCGTATTTGATGGGAATGATGACCAACTTAGCAAAGGTAGAGTAGTTGGAGATCGTCATATTTTTTACCTAATTCCTGACAAATATTAACTCTCGACTCAAGTGAACTCTTGCGAGTTAAGCCTTGGGTGTCGTTGTATACTGAGCGACAAAAAAAAGGGAAAAAACCAAGTATGTTTATTAGAATTCAAGAATTTTTTACATATCGATTTATCTTGCCATGAACAACACGTGATAGAATGGTCAGGTTTTTCTGTTAAGTTTTCGTGGTGGCTGCGTGTATTCTTTGGTGATAAAGAAGCATTCAGTTTTCGTACATTTACGGTGAAAGTCTTGTCTGACGAGATAATTTTTAACTACGATGGAACTCGGTTCAACTGTTTGAAAGTATATAGCTGGAGAAGGTTGGGGTCAGCAATCCAAAGTAAGCAAATGAGACTGAATGGAGTATCAGATGAAGTGGTTCAATTTGTAGATTACTAAGTCGATGAAAATATTTCAAGTCCTTTAAGTTTTTCTGTATGATTTTCACCCCCACGCAAAACTACCAGACGGATGTATTAATTTGAATGGTTTGTTCCTCGGTATCGCAGTAGGTATTTAAAGCCGCTTTAGTTTATTAGCAATAAGCAATAAGAAGTATCAATATGAAAGAAGGAAAAGGCATTTTTTTAATTTGTCTAGCAGATTCTTTGCACATTCAACTAATCCAACGATAACATTTTCTGCAATTGCATATATATTCTAGAATGTCTTAGTTGGCCCTATCTACGAGTAAGTATAGATCTTTCTTCTTATTTTCTTTGTGTTAAAATAACAAGACGAACGATTTCTGCTTCGTGGTCAAAAATAGCTAAGAAAATAATGTTTTTATGTTGTATGAGTATACTTCTGAGTTCCGATTTCAAGTCTATAATCTAAGAAATAAGTAGTCGTCTCAAACCTTTTCTTCGAAAACAAAAACATCACAGTTATCGGTCTCACAGCACAGCCTCAAACATTCTTCTCTGGACCCCAGGTCGATCTCGTTTAGATATTTCGCACCCATATTTTGGGAATCCTGCGTCCTGATTATTTTATCCCGGTGAACATTAAAATTATCTATACACGTTTGCAGGTCTATATCGGTGGAAAACACACCACTGATTGCTAAAACTGCTAAAACTATTCGTTGAACTATCGGCGACATGACGTAGAAAATCTAGTATAAAACTGGACAGAAGAAATGGTAGGCATTGGAAAAACAGTTGACAGGAGATCGATCAGGACGGTCTAGGTAGCCATGCGCGAAGTTGGTTTATTAGATGCTTTTCACTACGTAGAGTTCAGGAGTTGATGTTGCCAAGTGTTGGGAAAACTCCTCGAGCGTATATGGAACTTCTTGGAGGCCAACTATCGAAAACAAGGGATTAGAATAACCAGTAAAAGTATTCTATCACTTTTTTACATCTTTTGGCGACTGTTTCGACTTTTAACAAATAAGTTTGTTGATGTATGATCCCGTTCTATCAGTATTCGACTTATGTCGCGGGTGTTACCCTTGGATCGGTATTGGTTTCAACATTGTCTTTATTAGTCGAGTCTGCCTAGGACTTACGCTCTTCGTTTAGGGCTAAGAATTACTTTTCTCCACATACACTTCTCACTATGTACAAGGCCCAATTAAGATGTAGCCATGACGACTGTTCACATATTTGGGGTGTGGGATGACGCTTCTCGAACAGACAGTTTCGAGATGCTTTTGCACTGATAAGCAATCGGTGATCTGACTCTGTTCTACTGCTATGTCAAGGAGATTTGCCCCCCCGAGCTATCCTACATGATACCGCCTCGTGTTGATCCTGACAACGGACTCGTCAAGCTTCCGCCTCCCATTCTGTCGAACTTCGTACATTCATAACTGGCCAGTACGACCGCTTCTCGTACAAGACATCTTTAATTTGCTTATAGCAGTAACGATGCCCCAGTATTATAGATTTTCTCCTAAAAAAAACTTGACCACCGTAGAAAACCAGATTTGCGCTTGGGCGCTTCCGGTCGTAGAAACTTTAAAATGCTACAAATTTTGAGTGAGCTTTCACGCACGGACCCAGCATAAACTTTTTTGTTGACGAGCAGCGTAGGAAGCATATTTTCCAAATTAGTGAGCCTAGCATTACCCGTATAATTAGACCCTGCTTTTTTGACAGATCTGTGAAGCTACAGACTTCTTGACCGCATACCCATAAGAACTTTTGACCATTAGTTCGAAGGTGTTAGTCATTCACAAGGTTGTATCGATAGTTAAACGTTTTTTAATCCAGAAAGTTGAAATTCAATCAGATTCCGGTTTTTTTGAAGGATCTGACAACGCTAGATCCGTCTCGACGCGGGAAACCCTGTCCACCGATCTCTTCCGATCATCACCGAACAAAGCTTCGGCACCCCAGCTTGCGAGACCGGTCAGTGTTTGATTCGCTTTCGACGCGTTTGGTCCTTTAAGCCGGATAATCGTCTTTCTCCTAAAAAACACTCAGTGCACAAGTTTCTGTTCAGTGTCCACCCTTACAGACTTGAGGACGGCTACCTGTGACTGGAAAGGGACCGGAAAGTAAGTCGGGGATGGGAAATCTTAGGGTTGCTTAGTGGATGCGGGTGGGTAATTGTGATATATGTGAAACGGGGGAGTAGAGAGAAGGAACAGATGAGGGTGTTAATGGTTTGAAACAAAGGAGGGTAGAGAATGTACTTACAGTAGCTTTCACACTTTGATATCCATCCATGGTTTGAATAAGATTCAGGGCTGATTAGGATTAGAATAAGATTTGTTTAATGATATTGCATTAATAGATTTCATAAACATATCTCATTGACCAAATCAGATACGCTCATTTTGCAGCCCTTGCAAATACTACCAAGGGTTTCTGAAAATCACTGATATCTCTTGTAGATCTCGACTAAATTATGAAAAGTTCATGTATATGTGGGCACGTGCTCAGGGCTCCAGCCTGATGGGACTTCTAATTATTCAAGAAGTCAATTGAAATAAAAATGTCTGAGTATTCCCCCTCGCCCACTCCAACTTTTCTAAGGGCAAAGTGGATTTTGCCCTACCCCAGGGATTTTTCAGACGCAGACCTCAAGCCCCTGCTTGCCCAGGAGCCAGAGCCCTATATGGTTTGAATCCAAGGGCGGATTATCAGGGGCGACAGGAGTGCGCCCCCTAGATACCCAAGGACAATTAGCGCTAAACACGTGTTGACCTTAAGAATAGTTAGAAAACGGTTTTTCGCATGGTAGTCAAGTTAATTCAATATTTACTAAACTGGACGTTTCTTAAATAATAATCATTCTGTAATTTTATTTATTTTCTCAAAGAATTAATTAGGCACCATTTTCATTAAATCCATTACTTCAAAAACGCCTTCTCACTGGTCAAATTTATGTCATAGAGAGCCGCAAATTTTGATTGATAGTAAAAGCTATTAGGTTTTGATGTGTCGAAGTCTTAGAAAATAATGTAGGAGGGTATATAAAACTGAATAATATTCGACTAACAACTAGAAAGTAAAGGCATGAAAGATACAGCTAATAACCCATTCTTAGTGTTTATTTTGGCTATACATACATGACTGTAATCCGAATCATATAATCATAAAAAAGCGTGTTAAAGAGAGATACATTAGAAATGCTTATGTACAGCTGCAGTGTGTTGAAAAATAAATATAGGCCGAAGTCCTATTGCATGCTATAAAGCGGCTATATAAATTATATATACCGACGTACCTTCACTTCTAAAATAGACTCGGGGTTTATTATAAATAATTATATTTATACGAACGGCATATTCTGGCAAAGAAGCGAGGAAGATGACACATATTTCCGAAGTTGCGATATGAACACTGTACAAAGCAAGTGTAAAGCGTAGTAAGCAAACCTACTTCTCTCGAGTTCTAAGTATGTATCTTCTGTATGGTTTTGTATTATAAACTAAGAAGCTTAAAATAATACAGATCCAGAATGCTTAAACACGTGTTGATGAATCCAAAGCAAATCATTGAGACATATGGCATTGTAGATCCACACCCTCATCAAATCAGATCCTATAAGAGCTGAGTAAGATAGGAAATGTCTCAAACTAAATATAGCCACTTTCTAGTGCCTCATTAGTGTTACTTGGTGTAACTAGGTACTGCCCAACACCTGGTAATACCGTCCCACTGCTCTAGAGTAGGAAATAGTGGGTCTAACGAAAATGACAAACGATGAGTCAAGACTATTAGGTTATGTTTTTTCACCGTTTTTGTTTTTTGCATTAAACTCACATTAAACCGATACCAGGCAATGGAGGTTGGTAAAAAAACTGATAATGAATGACCCAGAGTCACAACATAGATTTGAGATGTTCCTGAATAATAAAGATCACAAGAGAGTGCAAGGAGGCAAGTTCACAGCGGCTTGTAGTTGGCTTCGTATTATAACTAGACACCTTGAAAATAATTTTTAATGTCTACACTACAATATGAATTCGACACATTTACACAAAAGCTTCACAATAAAAATGCAGACCTCTGACATGTTGTGCCATCATTCTAAAATCAGCATCAGGTATCAATTGGATACCCTGACAATGCTTCTCAAAATAAAGGCAGAATGTATTTCACATTTTCGTAGTTAGTTTGGCAGTGTAATCACAAAGCGAAACATCAAAAAACAGATTATGATTTTATCAGTGCTTTACAGTTCTCCAAAAAAACAGTAGCAATGCGCTCTCCGTAGTGGTGTCGATTCTGGTGATAGACGAAATGTCTCGTCTCGTCGTATTTGAGCTGTCAGCAGGACCTTGGCTCTTGTGTGTCAGAATGATGTTTGTCTAAAATCTTCCTGAGCCCAGCTAGGTAGAAGATAAAGGCGAAAGTGAGAAAAGAGGGGGAGGGTAGAGTAATATCAAAACATTTTAATACATCCTTCTGTTGTGTTTAGGTACTTGAGCCGGAGTATAATCCACTGCGACACGAAACAAAGGGTTTCTATGGGAGCTTGTATTTAGTACGAAGAATTTTGCATGACTTGGAAGGTACGCACGGAAGCGGATATAAGTGGGGGAATGTTAACCAATGCATTTTTGGTTAAATTTTGAATATGAGTTTTATAAATCATAGTTTTATGTAGTGATGGAAAATTCTGGAGAACAAAAAACTTCAGAATATTTTCGAGAATATTCTCAATAATGAGAATTTCCTAAGAACGACCTACTAGAAGCAGTAAAACCAACACAGAATCTAAGATTTTATTGAAAATCAACAAAACAAAATATAATAACTTATCTTCGGAGATAAATAATAAAAATATTCTCGTTTTCACAAAAAATAAAAAACAAATTAAAAACTTGAGCAGACTTAAACAAAATGAATTTAAGAAGAATCTGAGTCAGAAAAAATGTCCAGATCAACGTTTTCATTCTCACTGCCTCTATTTTTTCAAGACCCTCCTTCGACTGGCAGTGCAAAGTAGACGGGTTCTTTTCTTCATATTCGGACCGCTTGGACATCGCTGAAACCTGGTCCTGGTCCAATAGTTTTAAATTATTAACTATGTAAGTAACTTTACTGGCTCGCTCAGCTGTCAGTCGGTTTCTTTATTGAAGAGTGTATGAAACCATATGTAGTGAAACTTCTTTCGGTAGCCGCGCTAGTCGCAGGCATTAACAAAATTCGAACAGTTCAACAAACGGAAATAATTCTAATGCTGTCATTCGCTTGCGATGCTTGCAGGTTATGCCAGGAACAAAATACAAATAAACACCTCTGGGATTCCCCGTTGTCCGTTTTGCTCGCTAAAAGTAGGTTTTCGGACGGTAACGCCCAGCCGGGTAAAGCCGCGTGTACACCATACTGCAAAAGCATTTTGAGAAATTACCGGCCGGAATTTTTTCTACAAGAATATATTGTTTTGAGAATATTCTCGCCTCACATCACTAGTTTTATGTAAATATGTTACCCAAACAATTCGGTTTTGTTTCCCTTGGGACAGGGACATCTGGAGCACAAAGCCGTTTCTTTGTAAAGTAGACGGCATGGCATGCCTTTTGGAGTCATTGATTTTGCCATCCACTGGAGGGCCTACTCATACCTGTATATGTACTTCATCCACGGCATCTTGCAGCCCCTCACTCACCCGGTCAGACGGGTGTGAAAAGACTACCAGAGCAGTGACATCCGCATAAAGAAGTATCTCGCAGTGGATGGGACAAGTTATGTCATGAGTATATAAGGAGTAGGCACCAGAAT